ACCCTCGGTGTCGCGCCCGTACCAGGGACCGGCAATGGGATCGCAACCCCTGGCGTCGGGCCCGCACCGCGCTCAGCCAGTGAGCGGGAACCGGTCTCCACATGGGATCCGAACCCTTGGCGAGAGTGCCGCCGCGCTGTCAAGCGGCGCACTCTCCAGTGCGCCACCGGGCCGGCCCAGACTCTGGGAATTTCAAGCATGTACTAAAGTAAGCAGAATGGTATAAACAGCCTCTATGTATCCCATCACCCATCCTCAACAATGAGCCATCTCATTATTTCTATATTTCCCCATCTCTTCCCAGACGATTTGAAGCAAATCACAGATATTATATTATTTCAGCCATAAATATTTCATATGCATCTAAAAAAGATAGGAAATCTTTAAAAATAACTTTAAAACCATTATCACATATAAATAATTAAAATTAAGTCTTCGGGCTGTCCGGTTGGCTCAGTTGGTTATAGCACAGTGTTCTGACACCAACGTCAAAGGGTTCAGATCCCTGTACTGGTCAGGCAAAAAAAAAAAAAATTAAGAATTTAACTGCAGTAGCAGCAAACACATCTAGCACTCAGATCTGGGTTTCCAACAGAAGGAACTAGGGCTTCTTGGATAAATGGCTGATTCTGGGACAAGGGCAGGAAATATACAAGATGAACTTGGCTGTCGTATAGTGTCAGAAAGTATAAAAATGCTTAAAACAAGACAAAAAAGCAAAAACAAAAATTCCACATTGATGGGGGTATGTCTGTGGGACACAGGAGCCAACTGAAATAGCTCCCGATGACCAAGACTGGAACAATTTGAGCAATAAAATATATTAGGATTGTTACCCAAAGTATAACACAAATATTCCTGAGTCCATGCTGATATAAATAACTGAATAAATAAATAAATAAATAGGGGAGAAGAGAGAAATCTCCCATGCAGAAGAAATCCAAATAATTGATGTAGATACTCTGCCCTCAGAGAGAGGGAGTATAACTTCCCACTCCATAAGCGTGGGCCGCACATAGTGACCCCGCCCAAGGACAATAGTATGGAAAGGCGGAAAGGGTAACTTTACAGTGGAAAAACCTAACAAACTCTACCTCAGCCAGATGATCAAGGTTGACAACAGTCATAAACCACGTGGAATATACATACCCTATACACGATGTGGTACAAATGGCGCTTTACCTCTTATGGAAAGGCGGAAAGGGTAACTTTACAGTGGAAAAACCTAACAAACTCTACCTCAGCCAGGTGATCAAGGCTGACAACAGTCATAAACCACGTTGAATACACATACCCTATACACGATGTGGTACAAATGGCGCTTTACCTCGGTGATCTTCCTCCCCCAAACCCAGAACTCTAGTCTAGTCATGAGAAAAACATCAAATTCCAGTACAGGGACATTCTACAAAATACCTGACCAGTACTCCTTGAAACTGTCAAAATCATCAAAAACAGGAAAGGTCTAAAAAAACTGTCATAGCCAAGAGGAGCCTAAGGAGACATGACAACAGAATGTAATGTGGTGTAATGCGATCATGGAACAGAAAAAGGACATTAGGTAAAAACTAAGGAAATCTGAATTAACTAGGGGCTTTAGTTAATAATAATGTATCAATATTGGTTGACCAATAAATTAATATTATTTAATACTAATTAATAAATTAGTATGGTAAATTTGTTATTTGTTATAAATTAGTATGGTAAATTTATTAGGATGGTACATTGCAACGAATGTACCATACTCACGTAAGATGTTAATAACAGGGGAAACTGGGTATATGGGAACCCTCTGTACTATTTTCTCAATTTTTCCATAAACTAAAACTGTTCTAAAAAAAGGTCTATTATTAAAAAATTAAGTCTTTAATATCAACAAATATGCAGTGTTCAAACTTTCACTAGTGTCGCAAATCACAAGATTCAAATTAGGTCCCATATAGCTTATCGGTTATGGTTATTGGTTATTGCATATTAGTTGTGGACCAAGTTTTGAAGGAGGTGATGGAAATACTAGGGGAGAAAATTCCTCATTGCATGATACTTGCCTTGGGCAGGTGAATTACAGGGAGTGGGAGGTGCATGTGTGTTTGCTTGCCTTGGCCGGAGAGTGGAGGGGGGAGGGATGGAGAGATGATGTTTCAAGATGGAGATATGCGGACAGTCTTCAATCCAAGTCTTCAAAGGAAAGCTGACAGATTAAAATGGGCTCCAACGGATGGAATTCAAAGTCTTGCAAGTTCCCCGTCTCTTGTCCATTGCATTATTATTGATCCGCCTCCAGGATGACATCATTGTGGGGCTCAGAGAAAGGGACATGGGCTTTGACTCAGATCTGAGATCAAATCTCTGCTCTGTCACTTTGCCAAGTAACTTAACTTCTCTGAGCTTCAGTTTCCTCACCTACAAAAGCGGACATATTTCCACCATTTAGGGCTATTATGAAGATTAAATGAAATAATGCATCTGAAAATGTCTGGGATTGTTTTTCTTCTCTTTTGGGACAGAAGAAAGAGGTAGACTATTGCTGATCTGACAAAAATATTTATTTTGAAGAAAAGTAGGGTAAGGGGTTGTCATGTGCACCCGGGGAGTGCGAGGCCTTCCTGGCAGAGGGTGCATGTTGACCTTTGAGAGGCGAGCTCTTGGCAGGTGTTTTGATAATAAATGAAGGCCAAACTGCCATTGGGGCCAACTGTCGCAGGGCCTGGGGGGCGCTGGATCCCTTAGGGAAGGCCTGGGGCCTGGTCTTGGGAGGAAGCCTCGGTCCTATTTTGGGGATCTTCATGTGGGAAGCCGACTGAGGCTCCATCTGAGGCTGGTCCCCCAAAGAAGTGGGCCCCTCCTTAGATGACAAGGAGGGGAAGGTTTGAGGGGTGGAGCGGGAGACTGGGGTGGGCCGGGAGTGGAGCATGGCCTTGGTACTCAGGCTGCAGTCACCGAGGCAGGGCCCAGGGAGGGGGGGCAGGGAGAAATACACATCTTCCCACCACAGGGCCTGCTCTCTGGAGGATTTGGGCCAGGCCACCAGCCCCCACACCGACTCCCGCCTGGGCACTTGGAGGAGTGTCTTGTTCCTGAGCAAAAGGGGAAGGGAGAATCGGGTCAGGGTGAAGAGGGAGACAGAGAGAAGAGGCAGGGGTGGAGGGGTCTTGAGAGAAACATAGGTAGAGACAGAAGACAGAGAGGAAGACCAGGATACCAGAGCAGAAGGGACGCAGAAGGCAAGGACGATGCACTGTCACACACACCCTGTTTCTTCCTCCTCTTCCTCCTCCTCCTCCTCTTTGCCACAAATGTCCTCCTCTGGTGAGATCTTGGACATGGGTTTGAAGATGGAGTTCACCCACCTTTCCTCTTAAAAATAAAAGAGAGAGACAGAGAGACAGAAAGACAGAGAGAGAGAGAGACAGAGAGACAGAGAAAGAGAGAGAGAGAGACAGAGAGAGAGAGAAAGAGAGAGGAGGGGGGACCTCAGACTAGGAAGGGATTCCTGAATTGAGAACAGACTGTGGGCTTAGGGGAGAAGTCAGAACCCCCTCTCCTCCCACATCTCCCAGCTGACCCTCTCATTCCGGGTTTGTGCTTTAGGCCTGCTTATTTCAGGCTGTTCGAATGCTGTTCCCACCACCCAGAATACTTTGCCAGGCTGCTCTCTGCCTGATAATAGTTCTACCGGTTATGCAGTACCCGCTCGAAGCCTTGACTGTTCTTCACCTTGGAGCATTCCTCGCTTAGGTCCCCTTTTCCCCTCGATCCTCTGATGGTCGCGACCACATAGTTTGTACCTGGCATATAAGGTATGCTTATTGAAGTCCTTACTGCACCATACTGGGTTTTTTAAAAAATGTATATCTGTCTCTCTAACTGGTATTTCCTTACAGATTGGGACTTGTGGTCATCTCTGATTGTGCCTGTCCTTGAGAAGGATCTCCAAATTCACTTGCCAAATGGTTGAAAGGTATTGAGACTCACCCCATTCCATCCTACCCTCTCTGGGGTGGGAGAAAGGGAGAGTGGACTATGAGGGAAGAGGTATCCTGTCAAGTCCTTCAAAGTCCAAAAAGAAATAAGCTCAAAGGTGCCAGCCAAGGCTCCAAATTCCACTGTGACATCATACTTGTGGGTCATGCACTCTAAGGAGCCACTATGGCTCACATCCCATTGTGGCTTCACCAAATCTGCCTGGGTGAATTTTCTGGAAATTTGCTGCACCCAAATCTTCCCCAGATCCTCTATGTTACAGATAGCCTCACAGACAGCCTTCGGCTCACTTGGGGAACGCTTCCCTTCCCTGAGGGATGAGGTAGTTGCCCATTTCTTGATTCTCATGACAGGCTTTGGGAAGGAGGGTGTTAGGACCTGGAGTCAGGCAGGGAATAGGTAGGGAGGGGCTTCCTTCACACACCCTACGCCCCCAAACCCATGTCCAGGCCCTGGCAGCAGCTCGCTGTGCAATGCTGGAAAGGGGAGGGCCCCTACCTGAACTTACCATCGTCAGGGCCCTACTTGAGCAGTAAGCAAGGCTGGAGACAGGAAATCCAGAAGGCTGAGATGAGCCCTAAGGGGAAATGAGACCTCTAAAAATGCCTGCTAGACCCTTGGGGCTCTGGGTACTGGTTTTCTCTTACACTTCTCCATGCTATAGTCTTCTGCTGCAAGTGCTTTTCAGAATCTGCCAGTTTTCCATTTTCTCTTTCCTTTCTCAACAAGGACCCCCTCTCTGCACCCCCTGCAGTGTCTCTCTTTCCCCTGCCGGGGGAGCTGTCCTCCTACCTGGCCCAGCTGAGGGTCCTTTCTCCTTCTCCCCTTGATATTAGCCACCTTGATGGTATTTCTATTGAGACTGAGAAACTTACACATTAACTGAATTCATTTTGGTTACAATCAGGACCTATATTTGTTCAGTAGCGCAGCTGGAATCCTAGGGTTGGGATTGATTTATGAGCAAGGAAGCCAACAGGGATGCAGGAATCTCTTCGGCACCACTGTTGAACAGGGAGCCTCCAGCCTGTGCTGAGACACTTTGGAAGCTTAGTGTCTCACAAGCCACCCACTCTGCTATAAAAGGACCCGAAACCAGTAGAAATGTCTTCCGTCTATTGGACCACAACCTGGACTCCTGTTTTGGGTGTGTGTGTGTATATGTGTGCATGCATGCACTCTTTTGGATGGGCCCGGAGGAGGCAGTACTAAGCACACAACCACTTCTGGAAAAAGTTTTTTTGGCTTTTTTGTTGTTTTGGCAAAAAGCTCCATAAAATGCTTTCCTTTAACCCACCCGAGCTAGTGGTCTGAGTGCGGCATCACAGAGGTGATCCCTCATCTAGAGAGAGATCCCTCAGCCTCTGGGGCTGAAGGGCCTAGGGTTTGAAGGAGGGGAGGGGAGAGGGAAGGTGGAGGGTAGGAGGAAGGAGGAGCATCCAGGGCAAGGAGGCAGTCTGTGCAAAGGCTTGCAGGGGCAAGTGGAGGGAGGCAGGAGGAGGCTTGGCTGGTGTGAAAACTTCAGGTTGTGGAGGGAAAGAAGGAAACCTAGAGGTTTTCTATTCACAGAAATCCCCAGAGAAAGGGCTTTCCTTACTGGCAAACCTGGGCATGTGACTTAATCTGCCAGAACCTCAGTATCTTCATCTGTAAAGTGGATACAACATTAATACCCACTTCCTAGGCTTGTGGGGGTTAAATGAGACAAATTATGAAGTGTGCCTGGCACATACTATGTACTCAATACAATACAGCAAAAATATATTGCATATGATACATTATATTACAAATATTGTACTATTATTTACTCTTTTCTGAGTCCCAATTCTCCTTCCAGTTTCAGAATCTGGGCTCCTGTTCTGCCTCTGTTTAAAAAAAAAATCTGTCCTGGGCTGTCTGGTTAGCTCAGCTGGTTAGAGTGCAGCCTTGTAACGCGTGGTCAAGGGTTCGTTTCCCCATACTGGCCAGCCACCAAAAAAATAAAATAAATAAATAAATCCATCCCATCCACGTGTGTGGTTTCTCCCCTCAGTGGCTCCCTGATGAAGCCATCACTGGGTGGAGCAGGGCAGAGGCTCCCCTGTCCATTACTCAGGGTTTCCAAGGTCCTGGAAGGGACTCCCTCCTCCTCCTTTCTAGGTGGTTCCTGTCCCAAGGGACAGGAAGTGGGTATACTTGGAGAGGGAGGGAGGCTTTCCCCAGTTACTGTGCCCGCAGTCAGCATCCCAGATCCAGGCCCTGGGGCTTTCTGCCTTAGGGGCACTGAGCACCTGCTCCAGCTGCCTCCTCTTCCAAGCTCTACAGGGGTCCTGATGGCTGGGCAGTCAGGCAATCTGTGTGTAGCCTGGGCTCTAGCACAAACTTGCTGTGTGACTGTAGGCAAGTCTCTTCCCTTCTCTGGGCCTCCCTCGGTTTACTGTGATAAAAGAGGAGATACAAATTGCAATTCCACGATTTAATAAAGTAAGCTATTCAGATGGGGAAAGAGAAGGAGAAAGTTAAGGAAAGAAGGGATTTTACCTAGTAGAGTGCAGGCACTGGTCTTCAAGGGAAAGCGATGGGGGAAACTATCTGAATAATACTCCCCAATTTCCCCGGGTTACAGAGGGAACGGAGAGCCAGTTTGACCAACTCCCAGAGTCTGAGAACTCATCCCTTTGCTTTTCTTCTCTGGACTCTTCCACTGCGGCCCTTTCCAGGGGCTTTCACCCTGTTTACAGAAATGGGAATTTGCATGATGAAAATAGCCCCAGCCGGACTGCGATTTTACTGCGCTTGGCACCGGGCTCGGAAAAAGCGGCTGCATAGCCAATTACTGGAATTTTTAAACACAAATAATATTTTATGGGATCAGTGGGCTGGCGCGAGGCCGCCGCACCCGGCCCGGCTCCTCTGCCCACAAACAAGCTCCGATTGTGCAGTGGGCTAGCGTGCCAACCCCGGGGTGGGGGTGTGGGGAACGGCGGTCGGGGGTCCCGGCGCGGGCAGGTGCAGCGCGCGGGGCTGGGCCGTCCAGG